TGTACATACGTATACTCAAAGCTGAAAACCCGGTATTTCTCAACGTATATGGGGATCAAAGAAGGGAGTAGCTGGCTGTAAGAAGAACCTGCTAATTGGCCGTTGTGTCACAAGTGCATTATAAGTGGAACCTTTCGATGGTATGGATTGACTATCGTCAGGCATTTGACACGATGTCTCATGAACTCATTGTTCGACTGCTATAGTGCCTTGCGGTAGACGATCAAATACTAGGTTTACAATCACGCCTGGTGAATCCAAAATGCGAACATATAGTAGGTGGTATAATTTAGAAGAGGGGTCATCCAAGGGGCCCCTTTAAGTCCACTACTCTTCTGCATCTCACTACTACGGCTGTCAGTTGCGCTGAGACATATGACATGATACAGCTGTGGATGCTGATTCCGTTTGTAGAACGAGTGATACCGGAGATAATGCAATTACTCACATAGTACTCCTAGACCCCAAACAGAAAGCGATTCACTGTCAGTCTGCTAGTTGTCGTCATTGAAGCCTTGAGTGGGTGATCTACAATAAAATAATAAATAAATATCAGTATGCATGGGCAAGCATCTTAGCCGGAGGAATGCAGAACGCGGCTATCCTCGGTTCCCTCCGTCTTCTCAGAGTACACATTTTGCGGAACAACTATACCCCATTCGTAGTCCATTTACGCCCAGAAAAAACACAACATGCCCAAAAGCGAGATTGTGCAGGTCCGTACCTTCCTCAATGGTCTTGGAATAATCTGACAAAATAAATGATTATTTTATAGAAAGAACTTTTCACAATTCTTTATTCGCTGGAAGTACTTGAATCATCGTCCAAATGGTTAATATTAATTATTACAGGATCAGTTGGAATATCGATCATATTATCCCGATCCGACATCATTTTTTCGATTGTCTCTTGAACGTGATGGCTGCAATCAATGGTTTGCCGTCACTCTGTTAACAGCTTCATAAATCAAACTTCTCACGTCAGAAAATTTGAATGTTCTATTCTTTGAAGCCACATAGTTTTTTATATTTGCCCAGATCATTTTAATAGGATTTAATTCGCAGTGATAACAGAGTAGCCTTAAAACGTTCTTATTGTGGTGTTTAGCCATTTCGTCGATAATATTGAATTATATTTATATTTGTGCTGCCTGACAAGATAGATAAGTTCTTATTTGACCATATTTTCATTGAAACTAATATCTTTTGATAGGAGCCATTGTTGAATTTCTGGCTTTTTTGCGGACATTGTGGGAGTTTTTTCTACTTTTCTAGTGTGGTATGCAGCATTATCAAGTACAATGACGGCATAGTCGTCAAGCTTTGAGAGCGTTTCTTCACGCCATCGGTTGAATGAACTCCCGTCCATTTCTTCATGGTAGCCGGTCGCTTGTCGTTTTCGTTGACTCAAATGCTCATAGAGCAGTGGGCACAACGCCGTATTCACTGCCAGTGTGACAGATAACGAATGTTTTCCTTTTCCAGGAAATAATTATTTCATATAGTATTCAAGAAAACTAATAATAATACAAGCAGAGTATCTAACAGGTGTTGGTTCCAGATCTACCAGATATAACTAAGTTTAGTGTAGCTAAGTTTTCAGCGTGGGCTCATAGATTCAGTCTACTTGACACCATTTTTTCAACACAAATAACCAATTGTTTAGATACACATATATCAAATCCAAGCGAATAACCAAAATTTCTATGTTATGTGATGCGGTTATAATATGGTTCAAGATGACACACGGATTGATGACGTCAGTTACAAGAATCGCTTGAACGCATTGGTTTTAACCGCGGTTTTGTTGCAAGTTGTTTATTTTAGAAAAGTGCGTATATAATCTCAAATTATGTTTATTATCACTTAATAATTGGTTCTTTTTTGTCTACAACGGTGTATGGAAAGTTTAAATAAGTAACCATTCATAATATTCATGGGAGAAATGTTTTTTTTAAGAAAAAAAATTTTAATGATGGAACCATGGTTTTGTAGCTAAGATAACTTTCAATTCTCTAAAGTTTTCCGCATGTCAAAGAAAACATTTATTGATTTAGCAGAAATGATGAAAAAATATATTAGCAAAACCGTATACAGGTGGACATCATCCAGTGAGTTAAAATGCCATATTTTAATATTCTTGTGGTATATGGCTACACAGGATACTTTGTTAAACATAGGAACTATATTGAAAGTGTTCCTAACAACAATAATGAGTATAACTAATAAGGTGCTCCACTCTATGCTAACACTGAAGTCAGCCTGTATCAAGTTTGCCAAAAATGAAGCTGAAGTACAATAACAATATCCAATATCCGTCAAAATTCTAACTTGTCACATTTCAAATAATAACCAGAAATACAAAACTATTCCTGAGTTGGTAAATACCACAATTTTGCGGTGATAACTGTGACATATAACAGCTGATTCATGACGTCACGGATCTTATAACCAAACTGATAACCACACTCGCTTGAACGGATCGGTAAATACCAACCCAAAATGGTAAGTACCATTTTCATTTGGTTATCCGCTTGAATTTGATTATACTTGACGTATTCTTTAAGCCAGTGGTTACTCCATCTAAGAAGGCTGATTTAATTGTAGAGTCACCCCAAGTAATAAATCTTCCTGCCCTGGTCGCGGTCTTTCTTTATTAATTTTCAATAATTTCTTCTCCATAAAATAACCTGTTGGCTGTCCATCTAAATACTATTTCTGCCCCTTTTTCTATACTCAAAATGAAGTTCTTTGGGTCAACTATAGAATGTGGTCATTTTGAAAGTAGCTAAGTCTTCATCACTATCAACCTGATGTAATACTTTGTCTATGGTAGGAAGGTCCAGCCTTTCAAAAAATTGATGGACTTTGCGTCTGATGGCATTCCGATCATAGCTATTAACTGTATCCAAAGGTTTCGTGTAATGCAGCGTCTTGTGTGGTGGACACCATTTTTTGTTTTTTTTTATATTCTTTAACAATGTCTTGTTTGCCACACGTCTTTTAATAACATGAATTTCATTTCAGGATACTCTAGAATTTCACTCTTATAAAAGTTAACGACGATTTCTTGTCACGTTTTCGGGGAGGAGACATCAATGAAGAGGAAGCTAGGCTGAAGGAAGCATTGTGAGAAATATACTGTATCCGTAGACGACATGCCAATGTATGAACACACGCTATGTATGCACCGAATATGAACAGCAACAGCCGGCGTCGGCGTGCCGGCGTTACCCCGAGCCTGAGTTCTATCCTGTCGAATCCTGCACTTGTTCGTAGTTTTATGGCCGAAAGACCAATAGCTATTGCAACGCTTCGGCGGCTGCCGCGTTGCCGCGCTGCATCTTTGTTTTGCCGGGGTGTAAATGGACTACAAATAGTGTATAGGTGCTTACCTGTCAGTGGAAGTGTGGAAGTGGCAACTAGCTAGTTGGCAATACAACAGCAGCTTGGTATGCCAGAGTCCAGGTTGCCTATTTTACTATAGCAACAATAATAACCAAGAAATCCAATCGATCAAAGAAGAGGGCAGTTGTATTTAAAGACCAGGATATTTTTTTATACTTAAACCACCACAGGAGTATACAGGAGGAAGTGGAGCACCGCACTGACTCTACCAAGGAACACAGGGGCATGCAACAATTAGATAATCTGGCGCCGCCTTAGAGATCCGCCAGGTGGAATCTTTACACTCGACACTCAGAGACCGTCAACGTCAACCATAGCCAAGAGAAAAATTCTGTTGGGATGAGATTCGGACCCGCCCAACTCACGGCGAGTCATTAGTAGACAGGTAGCATCTACAAGTACACCACGCGCTGCTACCTTAAATTAGAGAGAAAAATGTAACGAGGTGTTTAGCAACAAAATGATAGTTTATAAGACTCGTCATCGAGAGGTACAAATAATTCTGCTGAGCAACCTTGTTCACTAATTATTGTCAAATTTAGAAAAATCAATTCTTCATGCATATTCAAATAGTTATGAATTGTTGGTGCTAATATTTGTTGTAACGGTTAACTAGCTTTTACAAAAAAACTTTAGAAATGGTGGACTTCTACCCTTGTTTTAGAGTGTAAAATGCATTGTAGTGAATCTGAAATAATATCCAACAGTTAAAGCCTTTGTGATACTTCGGATAAAAAATCATCCAAAACTGCTCAACGGTTTCTACAAATTTCTGTTTGTTGCTGATTTTTTTGAGAAAAATGGATCAACCAACTGGCCTTATTATCTTGTCAACGACCTAGCTAAACATCGTGTTGGAACAGACACCGAATATACTTACCGTATAAAAAAGTATCACCAAAGGTACAACCAGTACTAGAATGTTTCTATGGATACGCAAGTAAGAAAGATTTGAAGTTGAAACTTTGTGCCGCAAAGCTGTGTGACTATAAACAAAACTGTTTGCGCAAATACTTGGAGTTATCAAAGCTCATGTATCGCTAGTGAGACCACCATAGGTCGACAACAAATAATACAAGAGGCAGACTAATTCATTTCTCCATTTTATGCTTAGATCAGAAATAAACTATAAGGCTATTTTTTCGGTAGGTCCTATTCCAGGACTAGTGATCTTCACTGGGCCATCGAAGCGAGTATAGTTTTAATCCTAACTGAAGCAGCGAGATATCCGTTTCCGTTGTATCACGTGACTAGCACACCCACCGACGCGATACGATTGCTCTGCTGTACAACTTTCTTATATTCATAGGATTCCTTAACTTTTTGTCGGCACCAGTTTTCTCGCTCTATCTATTCGGCTTAGAGGTGCTATACCAAAATGGGCAATTAGACTAACAAAGTCATACGTAAGTATTTCTTGTGAAAATGTTCATGCTTAACATTTACACAATTCAGACAGAATGACTAGAGGATTACTTAGTAAGCAAATCTCAATATACATTATATTTCGTATTGCCGTTCTCGAATTACAAAGTAACCACTTGTAGTAGCAATTTTTCCCGCTCGCACCAGCACGAAGTTCAAAGCAAAAATATGCTCCCCGCCCCTGCCCATACCCGGCATAGACCGGTACCTGATCTCCTCTACCAAGACTCGTCACTGCAATTTTTCGTGCGCTCGCAGCAGGACGGAGAGAAAGATGGGTCGCGTAACAAAGAAAGTGACGCTTAAACACAGAAAAAAATTACACAAATTGCTGCAACTTTTAGGTAGTTCAAGTATATGGTAATTAATTGTTCCCTTCTGTTTTAGCCCCAATTCATTCAATGAAAACATAAGTACACATGTGCTATGTGCCTATCAGGTTCCTGTTTATTATTGATATTCAGTATTCACATGAATTACTAGTATTAATTAAAATAGTTGATTAATTTCAATGTGCCCCTCGGATATACATGTACACATGTACTATGTACCGATTAAACACTTCTTGATATACAGTATTCACATGAATTACTGGCATGAATAGTTGATTGTTTTCAAAATACATCTCGGGTATGCGTATGTACACATGTGCTATGCACCGAATGGCGACTTCTTGACTTACAGTATTCACATGAATTACTGTTGGCAATGTTATTGTCATATTGGTATTGAACACATAGTATGTAACTCTTTCAAAACAAAGCTGCCGGATAATGTTTATAAACATCTGAAAATGTTTTTTAGGTGAGTCAGACATCTCGTCGTTGGAGAGTACAGGGACGGATTCAGATGCGCCCTTATCAAAGCATCCAATGCAAGTCCCGGAGCCTGGCTCATCCCAGGATCAGGGTGTACAAAATATACTACAATTCCTGGGTAATCAAGCATCTGCTATAAAAGGACCAGAGGTCAGTACAGACGTAGCAGCCCTGATATCTGAGTTTTTACTCAAGGGAATTGATAAAGAATCTCGCAAAACTACTCTGGAATCTTATCCCTGTTTGGCAAACTGTCCAGCTCTTCAGCCTCCAATGATTAACCCAGAGTTTCGATCTTGTTTAAGTATTCGTACAAATGCAGTTAAAGAGGATACATTCCTCAGTAAACTTCAATTACAGTTAGCATCTGGGATAAGTGCACTGGCCGTCGGCTTCGTTAAGCAATATGAGAAAACGAAATCGAATTCTACAGCTCCACTAAAAATAATCGCAGATGTTTTTCATGCGATTTCTCTTCATCGTCGTTATTCCATTCTACCATTTTTGGATGGCAACGTTCGCAAATTTTCTGATACTTGCCCAATTGATGAATTTTTATTTGGAAAAACATTCCCGGACCAATGGAAATCCGCAAGTGAAGCTCAACGATTAGGATTTTCAATCGAGAAGAAGGAAAAAGCCCTAGGATCAGCATCTTCCAAACCAGTCGTCTATAAGAAATTGGAGCCCAAGCCAGGTCCGTCGAGGGTCCCGTCGTCTTTAAACTCCCGGCGCCAAATCTCGCATGAAAAAGGAGGAGGAGAGGTTTCGTTCAGCAAGGTCATACCGGAAGCAGTAGACAAGGTACATCCTCTTTGCGATATGTATGCGGGTCGCTTATCTGCATATGTAAATAAGTGGGCAAACATTACACAAGATTCTACTATTATTTCTTGGTTATCTGGATATAAAATGCCTTTTGTTAAGAAACCTAAGCAAAGGCGTTTACCTAGACCTGCTTTTACGCTGCAGGAATCAGATAAATTAAAGGATAGCATAAGACTTTTGATAAACATAGGAGCAGTATCCAAAACTACCTCAAAACCTGGCCACTTTTTGTTCTCATTTTTCTTAATACCGAAACCTTGTGGGGCATTCAGGTTTATTCTAAATTTAAAGGAATTAAACGAATTTTTAGAACCACCCCACTTTAAATTGGAAGATTTCAGGACTGTCTTCAAATTGGTTTATAATGACTGTTCCTTCACTAAAATAGATTTAAAAGATGCCTATTTTATGATACCGGTGCATCAGACATTCAGAAAATACCTCACTTTTAAATTTCAAGGTGTATATTACCATTTTAATTGTTTACCTTTTGGTCTTTGTACAGCCCCATGGGTCTTTACAAAAATTATGAAACCAATCCTTAAATATTTAAGGACTAGAGGTGTAATTTGTGTACTGTATTTAGATGACTTATTAATTATCAGTAAGTCAATACAAACAGCTGACTGTCAAATTGCTAAGGATATTTTAGAATATTTAGGATCCTTAGTAAATTACGATAAAAAAATCGGTGTTCTGTTTTAGTTTTAGCTCAGTTAATAGGAAAACTAGTTTCCGTTTGCCCGACTGTACAATATGGTTGGATGCACCTTAAGATTTTAGAACGAGTTAAATATGTAACATTAAAAAGACGCGAGCAAAATTTCAATACCTCAGTAATAATTTCAGAAATAATGCGATATGTTGGTGGCATCATACTCTTATAAATAATGAAGGTGTAGCTATTGTTACAGATAGGAAAGTCATACTTGAGATTTTCTCAGATGCTTCATTAACCGGTTGGGGTGCCTTTTGTCAGAATAGAGGTACTAACGGTTTTTGGAATGTGGACGATGCTAACAGACACATTAACTATTTGGAGTTACTAGCCGCATTTAATGCACTTAAATCCTTTGCCTCCAATATCTCTTCTTGTTCATTCTTCTTAGAATCGACAATGTAACGGCTATAGCTTGCATAAATCATATGGGTAGTGTAAGATATAAGCACCTTAATAACATCACACGCCAGATTTGGGAATGGTGTGAGAATAGACAAATTTTCATAGTAGCTTCATATATAAATACAACAGATAATTTATATGCAGATAGACTATCTCGCTCGAAATCTATCAACCTAGAATATGAGTTATCGAGTTTGGCTTTTCGAGAAATTTGTTCTAGTTTCGGGAAACCGACTGTGGATTTATTTGCGACACAGTTAAATGCCTAGGTATATTTCTTGGAAACCAGATCCTAGTTCCTTTACAGTTGATGCATTTACAGTGTCTTGGAGAAAAGAGTTTTTTTATGCGTTTCCTCCTTTCTCACTCATATCAAAACGCCTACAAAAAATTATTGCTGAACAAGCTTGTGGAATTCTTGTGGTTCCTAATTGGACAACTCAGCCGTGGTATTCCGTTTTCCATAAATTATTGACAGGAAGATCTATAATCTTTTCGCCTAATAAAGCCCTTCTCTCTTCCCCTTCTAGGGGATGCTATCCACTGTGGAGAACACTTTCCCTGGAGGCTGGGAGTTTATCGGGGAAGCTTTTCTCAGACGAGGAGTGCCAGAAAACGGGCTCCAAGCAATCAAGGCATCGCTTAGTCCATCTACCTTGAGACAGTATTCATCGAAATTAAAAAAGTGGTGGCAATTTTGTATAAGCAAAGGCTATATTCCTTTTTTGTATTCATTAGACGCAGTCATTAATTTTTTGAGTGATCAATTTCAAAACAATTGTTCCTACTCAACACTTAACTCACAGTATGCGGCATTAGCTTTGGTTTTTGGGATAAATAGCTCAGATAAAACTATTCTAAAACGGTTTCTTAAAGGAATTTTCAATCAGAGACCGTCAAGACCTAAGTATCAATCAACTTGGGATCCTCAACCAGTTTTAGAGTACTTATCTACCTTGTATCCCTTAACAGAAATATCTGTTATGCAATTGACTATGAAGTTAGTTACTTTGTTAGCTTTAATTACTGGCCATCGATTACAAACGTTCACTTATATACGATTACAAAATATAGTTCGCCATACTGATAGAATAGAAATTAACATTACGGATCGAATCAAAACTTCATCTTCCAAGGGTCTTCAACCCCTTTTAGTGATCCCATATTTTCGGGAAAACCCAAGTCTTTATTTAGCATCAACTATCGATTTCTATGAAACAAAAACCAGAGGCATACGCCCACTTGATACTGATTTTCTTATTTTAACAGTTAAGAGACCTATTCGCCCAGTCTCTACACAGAGATTGAGTAAATGGATCAAACTGACCCTTCAAGCAGGCGGTATTGATACCTCTATATTTTCTAGTTATAGCACTAGGCATGCAGCTACATCTGCAGCCTATAGAGCTGGAGTCTCTATTGAAATGATAAGAGAGACGGCTGGTTGGACGCAAAAATCAAAAATGTTTGCTAAGTTTTATAATCGCCCTCTTTGTAGTGATGTTGCTGCCTTTGCTAAAGGTATCTTGAGTTTAAGCTCAGTTTAATATATTTTTTTTTATGGATTAATATAGTTTGATCAAATTCTATACTACTTTTTGAAGAGAGAGTAGTGAACTGTTCATAATATAATAATTTGTATTAGAAAATAGTATTATTGAATTGTTTTGTTTAGATTCCTCTATTAGATCTTTACGAAATAAATATGGTGCCATGATCCCGATTCGGACTCTTCTTTGAACATCTACAAGTGGTTACTTTGTAATTCGAGAACGGCAATACGAAATATAATTAATTGTTCAATTGACTTACCTTAAGGAAAATTGAACCATATTATATGAGTATTGCCGTTCGAAGAATTACAAACCCACCCATTGTTTTTCATCCCTCCCACTGTTCCGATCGGGATTAGCTGCGTAAATTGCAGTGACGAGTCTTGGTAGAGGAGATCAGGTACCGGTCTATGCCGGGTATGGGCAGGGGCGGGGAGCATATTTTTGCTTTAAACTTCGTGCTGGTGCGAGCGGGAAAAATTGCTACTACAAGTAGTTACTTTGTAATTCTTCGAACGGCAATACTCATATAATATGGTTCAATTTTCCTTAAGGTAAGTCAATTGAACAATTAATTATTAAATCTTACTGATGTATGGTTCTTCATGGATTGTACAAATTACTTAACTCTCACCGGTAACGAGTCGATCGTTGCACTAATTTAATTGATTTTTTCCAACAAGCAAGTTCTTACTATCAGAGAGACTAAATATTCATCCTTACCAATTTAATTATATGCTTTGCAGCCCTGCTACGAGCAGCTCTGATCTTTTTTACTATAAATGATTTGGCGGGACAATCTTAAATTCATTGTTGACGATACTCTGACACACCCACCCAGGTCACCACCCATGGCCCCTTACAAAGCCTATCGCTTATTTGGCGGCATCTGAAAATTGCATTGGGGAATTTGCGTGAGTGTAGCCTTCTCGCGCACTCAGCATTCCACGTTGGCACCAAAGTTTGTTCCCAATGAGTTGATTCAACATGCGGATGAGCCATTATACGTACCCACAATATTTCTTCCATACCAATGGGCGTTTTGTAATGCGCACATTAATTGCATGCTATGGCACTACTCTCTAGAAGTATTTTGGGACGTGACTGAAACGAAATCTACGAAAGTGCATATTTCTTTCAAACAGATTTTATCTGACATACTGTCTTCAAGCTTAATTAAAATCCGTTTCTTTTTGAAGAAGGTATAATCAATCTTAAAATGATCCATATCAGACAGTTTCTCTGCAACATCTTCTTTATTAATTGATCGAATGATCTTGATTTCAACAGACTGTAAATAACTGCACAAGTTTTTTATAAAATATATTTTCGTGGAACGTTCAGCTTCAAATAATGAAGCAAAATCATATTTTGGCCATATTTGACCACCACTCTCTCAGAAAAACAACAATTTAGTGCATCAATTTAAGATGTTTTTATTTGATTTTTCCAAATAGTGGCGCCCGTCCTTTAATTTGGGCACCAAAAAGTTTAATTCGTTTGGAATATAATGTCTGCGGTTTAATTTTTGCGTTAAATTATTTTGAATTGTTTATTTTCCAATAAATAGATAGTAATGCCTCTAGGTCTTTTTCAGTATATAACCAGAGTACTTAACTAGATGGTACCTGATAAAAATGATGCTTCTGTCGCGTCACACCCTCATTTTTATCTCGAAACGTTTTAAATTAGATGAAAAAAGGCGGTCTGTATTGTTTTTTGTGTTACTCGTTGAATCATATTTTTCGCATGTGCTGCTAACCAGAGAAGTTACCATCATTTAAAATTACACTGGTAAACAAAATTAAAATATTTTTTGTGACATGGACACAACAGGGTGGTTATTATGTAAAACGTACCCAAAAATCCGGAAATAGCATTCGATTCTTTCTATCACCCACATTTTTCTTGCAACAAGGCATTTTATTTGCTGCTTATACTCGTAAAATATAAGGATATGTGTGTAAGAGTACTAATAAACACATGAAGAAACATTAATATCAGAATGTTGTTGTCGATGTTTTACGGCGATATGTTGCCCCTGACGTATCTCTTAACAATGTCCACTACTAATCGGCAAGCAAATTGACACTTCATTTGCCTTGATACCGTATTTACATAGCAGAAATGATTTGTTGGAACAGTTCACCATGTTCATCACCTACCTCACCTAAATTTTCTGAAAAAAAATCGAGAGGATAATCAGAAAAGTGAATTTTTAGAAAGATGTTACATTCCATTCCTTTATAAGCATTAATTTGCAGTAACTGATTCAAAAGCATTTCAAGCTCGTAATTCAGTTTCATTTAGAGCACTGTCAAATACATCATCCTTCATGCTTTTCCGTATTTGTGGACCCATTAATATACTCTCTTTAATTTTTGCCTCACTCACTCTCGGAAATGTTTGTTTTAAATGCAGAATCAGTCCCAACTTAATATGCAAAGGTGGAAGCAACACGTTTTTGGGATCAGCGAGTGGTTCATGAGCAATGTTTTTGAGGCCCGGAGTTAATATCTGACGTAGTGGCACTCCTTCTGCTCATAATAACGATTCCCATTCACAAAGAAAACAACAATATTTGTTATATCCCAGTTGAATTCCAAGAAGAACAGAACAGAACTCGCATATTTTCGTATGAATCCTTCATATGAACTGCGTGCGCTATAGAGGTACAGATAGATATGTATTACCGTTGTGTACCAATACCGCTTTCAAACTAAGCTTAGAGGAATCAATGAACAGGCGCCAATCATTAGGATCATGTATCTGTCCTAACGCGTCAAACAAAATTGTTGACAACGGAGCAATATATCAACTCCCTTTCTTGACGGAAACAGTGTGTGAAGTCTTGATGCCGTTTTCCGGGAAAAGGTAATGTTAATATTATCGTGGAGAAGATTTCACCCTTTTAATCTTATTGCTAAAGTTCTAACTGGGATTTTGACAGATATAATTCTTGAACTAAGTCATTAAGTTCGCCCTGTGTGATCAAATGCGGCGCTGTTCAACATCCTGACAGGTCAAACGAAGGATCAGAAATGTTTACGCTTTCTGTACCATCACTTTCAGAGTCGGTGGATTCGACTTTTTCACTGAAAGACCAAGATTCTGGTGGAACTGGGACAGAAAGTTCATCACTATGCTTAACGGGCCGCAAAGCTGATGGTAGATTAAAGTACTTAACAGTATGTTTCGATTTTGGTCCAATACCTTTAATATTTGTGAGGCAAAAATGGCAATTAGTAATACGGTCTCTCGGTCCTCTCCAAACCACTGGTACTGTAAAGGTCATTTTACGATTGTCGCCTCTTAATCGACGTGTTACGAGGGATGTCTTTTAAGTTTTGCATATGGAAGTAGAACAACACGGTAGGTAGTTTTGAATAACTTTATTGTTTTTCGAAGTATTCTCCACGAAGATTAATACACATCTGCATGCGCTCGAACCAATTTTCGAAGCACTTATTAGACTCGTTTGCTGGCAGATCCAAAACGGCATTTTTGAATGCATCAACTGCTTCTTCTGATGACTGGAACCTTTGACCACGCAGTCTGTTTTTAATTTTCGGGACAGTGAAGAAATCGTTATTACTTAGATCGGGACTATATGGAGGATGGTTCAAGAATTCCACGTTTTCTTCCATTAAATACTGCCTTGTTTTTTGGGCTGTGTGCGAGCTTGCATTGTCTTGGTGGGGATGATTCTTCCTTCGGGGTTGATTTTTCGAAGCTCGGTGATGACCTTTGGCAAACAAATGGTGGTATACCAATCCGCAGTAACAGTCCTTTGCTCATTAAGAGGAATTGGTGCAATATGACCCGCTTTTGACACAAATGTCGCGACCATCTTTTACGAAATACTTCGAGAACGGATGAGTTTTGTTGGCTTTTCTTCACCTTGGAACACCCAAACAGCCGACTGTCGTTTATTTTCTCGTTCATAACAGTAAATCCACAATTAATCACCACTAACAATGCTGTACACATTTTTTGAGTTTCCAGAATTGAAACGGTCAAGCATTTATTGACACCAATTAACACTAGCTGCTTTCTGCTCTTCAGTCAACAGGTGGGGTATCCAACGAGACACTAATTTTCTTACTCCTAATTCTTCATGTAAATTTTTTTGAATTGAGGTCTTTGAGATCTTCACGAACGCCTCAATCTCGCGGTATGTCACATGTCTATCTTCAATGATGACTTTGCGCACAGTATCGACGTTTTCCTGGGTGACTGCCGTTTGTGGTGCACCCACCCTGGGATCGTCGCTAAGACTCACCCGAAAACAGACAGTAACTCAGCAAGGCATTCTTGTTGCGATGATTGTCTCTGAAAGTTGTAATAAATTATGGCGCGAAAATGTTCTCGGTTGAGTCCCATTTTTCTAATGACTTGATGAGACTTAAAAATTCACTGTAGTGAGAACACTGCACGTATTGTTGTGAAACTTTGAATTTAAGTTTACTAAAGAGTGAGGTTAAGATTCAGTACTGACATTCGATCCGCGCGACCTACTATGTTTCTATATGCAAAACTTGAAAGACATCCCTCGTAACAACGTTACACAAGTCTTACAACATATATGAGAGGCCCATAGTTTATCTTGGTCGCCAACTTTAATTCCAAAATGCTTATGCGTATGCTTTCAACACAAGGGGAGTAAAAGTACGTTTTGCGGATTTAAAAGTTAGCTCTCCGCATACATAACAAAAACTGTTCGCACTATTTACACAATTTCTAAGCACTGTCCATAAAGCTTGTCTCGATCACAATAAACTAAAAACAACACACCGTCTTAACAAAAATTAATAGTGCTCAGAACATCTCAGTACTCTTCAACACAGAAAACGTAACTGACTCGCTGCTATTAGTCTACTAATAAACGCAATATGCTCTAAACATGGAGCTCGCATATAATAAACAGGAATAGACAGGTCTTAACATTATATATGTGCGTCATCGCATAAACGCCGAGAGATGCAGCAATATGTGTTTTGTAATTTATAAAAGTAGATGCTTTAGATAGATTTGATTTGAGGGTCTCAGAATACATTAGATACACCCAAAAATTGTCATGTCACAAATCCTGTGTTTATCGGTGTTATCTTTTCTGTCCCTAAATAAATAATAAAAAGAAAAAACACCTAGGTAAATAGTGAATCTCATTCAACGTTGTATTGTTAAATCCGTTAAGTTAGTATGACAACAAAACCTTATATTTCAAAATAGTTGGAGAACAAAGAGAAATAACTAATTGTAGCTATAGTTTCTTCATATGACTCGCCTTCTGAAATATAGTTTTTAGGTGTCTGCATCAGTATAAAAATAGCACTAAAATTGCGACTTTTAGTATATAACTAATACAAAGTAGGAATTTGCCCGTATGGGCAATAAACATGTCTTTCGGACTAATTCAAACTAAAAAAAGACATGCAGAATATCACTATAGTGAGTGATTTCTAATACTAAGTCGGTTGTTGACGTTATCACTCAAGATTATCTTGGTCCTATCACCAAGCTAGAAGGCAAATCGCGTTTTAACCTATTCACTAGCTAATGAGCTGGATACATATAATAATCGGTTTGCTAACACATCATGGTGTGTTTCTGCCCTTTCATTGAATGTAACACTGGTCAATTCTATCACTTCGTTAATTGTAGGGATAGGTATGTCACGCAGAATCACTTCATTGAGAACGTAGTGCAGTGCATCGACGATCATTTTCTGGGCTTTGTTATTGAACCGCTGATGGATGACAATATCGTTATTGCTCCCTGTGCCCTATAATTGGATGCCATACGTCCAAATTGGTTTTGACAAGGCATTATAGAGTAACAGCTTGTCCAATAATCGAATATATCTCGCTAAGTTTGATTTCAATTTGTTTGCTTTTCCAGAAAATGTGCACTTGTCTTGTTAGCCTTCTATCTAAACAGATTCCGAGATACTTCGCATGATTTTATTGTGGAACTTGTAAATTATTGAAAACTGTTAGAGACGTTTTTATATATAAGGTGAATATCGCTGAGTTTCATTGAGCTTTATGCCCAATTTCCTTAGCCAGTCCTCGATTTGGAGCAAGTTTCTATAGAAACTTTGCAACGCCATATCTCGATTCTCATGGAATGCCAAGATAGCTGTGTTATCTACAAATGTTGCTATGCATATATGATTGCAGTTGGTAGATCTGCAGTATACAGAAGGCAGAGAGTGGATCCTAAAACACTTCTTTGTGGGACTCCTCAACCGGTAAGCTCAATTGATGTGGCTGTAGTATTAACAGCCCATTGTATGTCTGACTACGCGCATAGCAGCATCACATTACCAATCGCTTAAAAAAACATGACGTACGGAGAAACATCAATGTCCGGGTAACTCAAAAGCTAACCAGAATCGGACCTATGAATTGATTTTAGGGTGTAAAGAAGCGCTACTATTACTGAACTCTTCGAATAATGGGTTATCCATGAAAAAGCTACACGGTAGAAGTAATGGCTTGAACCTTAAGTGTCTCAGCAAACAGTGCCGCAACCCAATTTGGCCTCGCGGTCTGAGGGGATGGTGGGATTATAAAGTTCTCCTTAGAGCTTCTTCAGTAGGATGAGACAGTGAACTCGGAGAAGTATTATGCTTCAGTCAATAAGTTTTTTATCGCAGTACAGGAAAAGTAGGCAGTATTAGCTGCTCCTACCATACGCTTCTATAGCCACACAAAAAAAATAAATAGCAAAGCTTCGCTTGGGAAGCAATGCAGAGATCACGTTATTCTGAGGATAGATAGATGAGTAATCTTCATGGTCTTGTTGGTCATGGGAAATTATGACATAACACTTGTCATCCTTGTACATTACATAAATCAATAAATTGCACAACATGGTTAGTGTCAAGAAATAGGCAAATAACGGAAACAAAAAAAAAGGTTACAAAGACAAATATATTAAGAGCAATTACAGTAAAATAAACAGATCGAGCACCTTCCAGTTTCATCTTCAACTCAAATGAGATTCTCCAAAATCACTTCTCCCAGTTTCTTTCAACAAGTCCGGCAGTTCAACACAAGCGACATACTGAACTCACCGAAACCTTGGAGAGAAGTTAATAGACCCAGATGATCAATACATTACGGAATGAATGTCCTTAAGTACGGGTACATCAGTTAACTTCTACCTCAAAATCGATAAAGCTTTAACGAGAACCCAATGAATAATCCAGGTTTGAAGTACAAATATCATATGTGGATGTTCCTCAAAGACGGCGTATTCTGACCAAACACTTCAGCTGATAGACTCTGGCGACAATTATAGGAAACAATGGCACAGTAGCCAACAGTCGGGAACAATTTACTCGTATCAATTACAGAACGTTTATACTTTCTATTTAATCTAACCAAAGCGGTTATTTCATAAAATTGACACCCTACATATCGTATTCAATTGTCACGCCGTATCATACGTATTTCGCAAGCTCACTATCTATGAACACCGCCGTCTCTTTGCTCGTCTCAGAGAACAGACCTGTGAGTCCTGTAGTCTCTATTTTCGAGATAGATTAAACACGATCCAAGTTAACGTCTGTTGGGAAACCTGAGTACTTCTACTCTCATTTTACGGGAGATATAAAATATTAAATTTTCATGGTAATTAACTCTCTGCTATACTGCAGGCTGGGGCCAAGTTTAAAGGTCTCTAGATTTTACGAAAACGATCGTTGAAGAGCCTAGTCTAGGTAAATATACCGTAGCAAATAAATATTTACAACATCCTGTTTAAACTCCAGCTTATCATAGAGGCGTTGACTGTATAAATAAGGAGAAAGAAATTTACAAGCTCAGATACTGAATACTTTCTCAGGCACTTTGAAGAGATGAGAGAATATACAATATGTATACTTCGATCGACGAAACTCATCTTTACTTTTCGAATAAAAGTTGAACATCATGAATTATACGAGGGATGTCTTTTAAGTCTTGCATATAGAAACAGTAGGCCACGCGGATCGATCGTCAGTACTGAATCTTAGAATCACTCTTTAGTAAACTTAAATTCAAAGTTTCACAACAATACGTGCAGTGTTCTCATTACAGTGAATTTTTAAGTGTCACCAAGTCATTAGAAAAATGGAACTCAACCGAGAATATTTTCGCGCCATAAATTATTACAACTTTCAGAGACAATTATCGCAACAAGAATGCCTTGCTGAGTTACTGTCTGTTTTCGGCAACGAAGCGCTACATCAGTCGACAACTTCCCGTTGGTATGGAGAATTCAAACGTGGACGGGTGAGTCTTAGCGACGATCCCAGGGTAGGTGCACCAAAAACGGCAGTCACCCAGGGAAACGTCGATGCTGTGCGCAAACTCGTCATTGAAGATAGACATGTGACATATCGCAAAGATTGAGGCGTCTTTGAAGATCTCAAAGACCTCAATTCAAAAAATTTTACATGAAGAATTAGGAGTAAGAAAATTTGTTTCTCGTTGGATACCCCACCTATTGACTGAAGAGCAGAAAGCAGCCAGGGTTAATTGGTGTCAAAAAACGCTTGACCGTTTCAATTCCGGAAACTCAAAAAATGTGTACAGCATTGTTAGTGGTGATGAATCGTAGATTTACTGTTATGAACCAGAAAATAAACGACAGTCGGCTGTTTGGGAAAAGCCAACAAAAGTCATCCGTTCTCGAAGTGTTTCGAAGCGGGTGATATTGCAACAATTCCTCTCAATCAGCAAAGAACTGTTACTGCGGATTTATATACCACCATTTGTTTGCCGAAAGTCATCACCAAGCTTCGAAAAATCATCCCCTAAAGAAGAATCATCCTCCACCAAGACAATGCAAGCTTGCACACAGCCCAAAAGAACAAGGCAGTATTTAAAGGAAGAAACCTTGGAATTATTGGACCATCCTCCATATAGTCCCGATCTAAGTTCTAACGATTTCTTTACTTTCCGGAAAATTAAAAACAGACTGCGTGCTCAAAGGTTCCAGTTACCAGAAGAAGCAGTTGACGCATTCAAAAATGCCGTTTTGGATCTGCCAGCAAACGAGTGGAATAAGTGCTTTAAAAATTGGTTCGAGCGCATGCAGATGTGTATCAATCTTCGTGGAGAATACTTCGAAAAACAATAAAGTGATTTAAAACTACCTACTGTGTTGTTTTATTTCCATATGCAAAACTTAAAAGACGTCACTAGTATATGCATTTATGGTCAACGAAACCCGTTGCCTGATCATTTAACATGTAATAGTTAATGTATAGAAGCAACAATCAATGATCATTACCAAACAGCAACTGAAAAAAGTAATAATACAATGGACGAGTTTACCACTTCTGCTGAAAAAATTGTTAATTTATCTCTAAAAACAAAAAAGTTACAGCC